TCCAGAGCTCTTGGCCTCAGGTAGATTTGGAGACATCACATTTTTAAACTCCTTGGTAGGGCAAGTTTGCCTTCTCCTTTGTTGATGCACCCATTCCCTGATTGCTCTTTTGGGGAGAGGAATAAAAATGGAACTGAAAAGCATTGCCAGGGATGTTGATTATTATCAGTAGATTTTAATACAGACACTTTGGGTCTGAGCTTTCCAACAGCCTCATGTGCCCCCAGGCCTTCCCCTTTCCCAGACTGACTGCCCTGGGTGTTAAGTTTCTCCAGAGTTTTTTGTCCTTGCGGAAATATTTAGTTTTTCCTCTGCTTCTTCCCTTCCCCACCTTACAGGGCACAAATTCTTCAGTCAATATTTGCCAAGCTGAAATATTCCAAAGCATTTTCTGCCTCTGACCTTGCCTGTCCCATGCTGGAATGTGCAGTTGGAAAGTCACCACAGATTTTTGGGGGACACTGTGGCATCCCAGCCACTGAAATATAAAGTTGGTGGGATGTTTTTGCCTTGGTGAATTGATTTTCCCATGGGTTTAATCCACTCTGGTTAGTATAACTTATTTTTTTCTTTGTCCTGTGTGGATTAACTGTCACCTGCACTTCATGTGGAGTGCAGCCTTTGCTGTAGGATGGAGAAGGAAAGGAGCTGGAGCTGTTCTGGGAGTAATTGTAAGGGAAAATCAACATCACCCAGTGGCAGATGGTAAATGGGAGCATCATCTTACAGTGGCAAGGGCCAGGCACTTTGGAAATGTGAGTTACAGAGTCATGCATGATGGAACAGTTCACAGTCCTTGTTTTCCTGGCAGGGAAGCTGATGGAGGGGATTTCTCTTTATTTCCCCTTCAATTTCCCTTTATTTTCCAGAACTTCCCAACCTGCTCTGTTATCACTGAGTACTGTGATACCACACACAGGAATCCCATGGGAACTAAGAGCAAGTTAATGAGTTTAGTCACTTAAAGGCAGTTACTTCCACACTTTTATCCATGTTCCAGAGGTGTACGTGGAATCACACTGCCAGCACCACAGGTCGGGCCCAGGAGGTGAAATTAGGGACAAAAGGGACATTGTGCAAGTGTGTGTGACTCCACAGGCAGCTGTGTCGATACGTCAGGAATTCATTCCTGTGCTCATTCCAGAAATTTCACCTGCAAAGCTGCTGAGGAGGATCTTGGGCTGAGCAAGCTCCTGTCACCCCCAGGCAGTTCCAGGTGGGAATTGGATCTGTGTCCATCTCTGTTATCCTGGGAAAGCTGCAGCTGTGCGTGTTGGACAGGAATGCTGCCAAGGCTGTTGCATCAGAAGTGGCAGGCCAGGTTCAGCTGTGTCCAGCTCCATTCCCTTGTTTGCACAGCCTCACTCTCCCCATGCTGCCTTTCCCCAGACACACAGGAGCTGTTGTTGTTCCATGCTTTTATCACCTAGGTGGGATTGATCCATTTATCTGTCTGCAGTTTTTCCTGTTGTCCTCTAGGAGTTGTGTCTGGGCAAGAGCTTGGGAGGCGACTTCAAAGGGATACAGCCATAAAATGGGAATTGTGGGTAAAGTCCTGGGTCTGGTGTCACATTAATCAGTTTGTCCTTGTTCCTATCAGGAATGGGCAATTCCTTGGCTCTGCAGGTGGGTGCCAGTGGAGCAGGTTCAGTGAGATGCCTGAAGCCAGCAGGGACTGCAGGACAGAGGAAATATTGAAGCCAGACCTGCTGGTGCATTTAGAAACTCTAATTTCATTCTGTGGTTTGAGTTGCCTTGGAATGAGACTGGGCTGGAGGGTGAAGGGATGAACAACACCTGGAGAATAAAATCCAGGATCTCTCCTGCTAGAGTCATGAGTAACAAATAACTTTTGTTATTGTGAGGGTGGGCAGGCCCTGGCACAGGTGCCCAGAGCAGCTGTGGCTGCCCCTGGATCCCTGGAAGTGTGCCCAAGGTCAGGCTGGAATGGACTTGGAGCAACCTGGGTGTCCCTGCCCATGGGATTGGAACAAAAGGAGCTGTAAAGTTCTTTCCAACCCAAACCAGTCTGGGATTCTCTGAAAAGTCACCCCCTGTCCATCTGCCATCCCTTCAGCTTTCTAACACTTATTATCCCAATTATGTAAAGATTTGGAGAGGGGCTGCTGGCTCAGCCAGGCGTGGCATGTCAGGTCACACTGAAATCCTTGTTCCTCGAATGATTCCTGAGCACAGCCCTGATGGGTCACTCCAAACTCTGCCTGGCTGCTGGCTGACAGGGCTGGAGCCTTAGGAAAACACTGCAGGAATGAGGGCAGCACAGCCTGCTCTCTGTATCAGTGCCCTGATTTATGGTGGAGCTGTGCAGCTTTGCTGTGTTTCTCCTGGAGCGATTCAGCCGAGGTGAGGGAGTGCTGCCAGGAGGATCCCACAGCCCCTGCCTGCCAGGGCAGCATCTGGGATCAAAGCAGTCAAACTGGCTGCCCTAAGAAATCCCAGCCTCCTGAGAAGCTCAGCAGCCACTGGAATTTGTCCTGGAGTTTTGTGGAAAAGCTTCCATCCTGTTTGGTGTCTGTAGGATTCTTCCTGATGGGCGAGACTGGGGGATTCTTGGCCATTCCTGTGTTGGAGGTATTGAAGTGGGGTAACTCCACTGTGCTCATTTTGGAAAGACAAATACCATTGTAAAGGGGAAAAATAAAGCGGAGGAAATGCGACTGGAATAGCTCTGACTGGTGACCACAGCAGAAACTTACAGTCCTGTTTACTCTCTGATCCCAAAGTGTTTTCTCATTTTTAGGGAGTCTGTTTATCTGGCATTGATAGGGCTTTGGGCTGAACACGGACACTTGGACTGTGTAGGAAACTTTTGCCTTTAATTTTCACCACCACCCTCCAGGGGACTCTACAGAACCAGAGCAGGGAAAACCTGCAGCCCCTAAAAATCAGTGTTGAAGTGGGGGTGAAGCAGTTGCTGCCACAGACACAGAATGCCTAAATGGGGCAGGGAATGTCACTGTCACACCTCTCAGGGCTGTCCTCACCACAGCAGCAGCAGCATGCTTCTATTTGGGTGAGCTCATCCTCTAAATATCCCTCTGTAAATAAGGGCAGATTTATTTTTGTCGTCATTGCTGGTCAGAGGGAATCCTGCTCCAGAGCTCTCTGCCCTGAGGATTCACTGGAGGTGCTTTCACTGGCTGAGTTGGGACTTTCGCTGGGTGACATTCCCTGTGTTTCCTTGTCCCCTGTAGCACTGTAAGGTCACTTGGTTAAGCTGTGCTTCCTCCTCGCTGCTATCTGACCGTGGCCCTTTGCCCTGTCCCCAGAGGCTGTCCCAGTGTCCCTCTGCGGGGACAGAGCTGTGACCCCACGGGACAGGGCTGCTCCAGGGGCTGGGAGCTCTCCAGACCTGTTCCTGTTCTGTGTGTCCTGGAGGGGCCTGGCACAGGGACAGTGGTGTGGCACATCTGTCACTACAGTCACTCACCCCTGCTCCTGGCCAGAGCCCAGCTCGTGCTGTCCTGTGACCCCAGCGTGGCTCTGCTTCCCCAAAACCAGCTCGGGGTCATTTCAGTCCCAGCCACACACCCAAAGGGCTCCAAGGGCACGGTACAAAACCCATCTCCAGTCCCTGTTTCCTGCTGCCTGTCACCCCTGTGGGATGGGTTGGATCGTGTGCTTTCCTTCCTGACACATGCAGCTCTCACTTCTCCACGCTTGAGGTGCTCCTGTGTTGGAATGGCAGCAGATCCTGGAGACGGGAGGGTGGGGGAAGGAGCCAGTGATCCTGGGAGCCGTTGGATCCTGGGACACTGGCACAGGCTGCCCCTGGATCCCTGGCAGTGCCCAAGGCCAGCTTGGATGGAGCTTGGAGCAGCCTGGGGTGGTGGAAGGTGTCCCTGCCCTTGGCAGAGGTGGGATTGGATCTGTGAGGTGCTTCCAACCCCACCCAGTCTGGGATCAGCTCTGGGCTCTGAGGTGGGTGTGCAGCTCCAGCTCACCCCCTCAGGATTGGGACTGGGATGTTTCGGGCAGCAGCTGCTTGGCTCTGATCAAGAGCTCCTGTGAAAAGGAGCTGCAGGCTCTGGGAAGGAGCTGGGAAAGGATCCTGCAGGGAAAAGCTTCCAGCTCCAGGAGGAGATTTGGGGATCTGCTCCTCCCTGAGCTGCTGGTGAATGCTCGGGCTGGGGACAGCGAGGGGTCACTGGGCTGGACGGAGGGCATGTGGGCACTGTCACCCTCTGTGACATCTGCCTGTGTCCATAACAAGCAGCAGGCTCTGGCGAGGGAGCAGGGCACCAAAATAGTCAGTGATTTGTGAGGGCAGCAAAGCTCTGCCATTATTTGCTCTGCAGCAGGTGAAGCCCAGCCAGGAGCAGAGGCTTTAATCAAGGCCTGGGTCAGGCTGTGCCCTTCCTGGCAGGAATGTCACGCTGGCAGGAGTGGGATGCAGAGGAGCTGGGGGGGAATATGGCAAAAAAAGGTTGGAAATAAACCCCAGTAGTGGAATTAACCACAGGGCAACCTGTGGGCAGCAGGAGCTTCTTAGCAAGCAAATACTGCTGTAGGGGGCTGCAGTCATTCCTTTTATTTGCAAGCCCTCAGGAATGTTTTCCAATGGAGCAGTGCCATTCCATGTCTGAGGACCACAGGCATTATTCAAAGCACTTGCTGCCAAAATAAAGGGTGCAGTTGAGAAGTGTGAGGCTGCAGAGCTCTCAGTGAGTTTCTCTTCTGGGAAGAGGCTCTGGTTGGTTGTTGTAGCAAAGGGGAATCACTCACTGGTTTGGGTTGGAAGGACCTTGGAGAACATCTCATTCCATCCCCTGCCATGGCAGGGACACCTCAGAGTGCTCCAGGTCCCATCCAGGCTGGTGTTGGACACTCCCAGGGATGCAGGGGCAGCCACAGTCAGGGCCTGCTGAGCCTCACAGGGAGGAATTCCTTCCATACATCCCACCTAAAGATTCCCAGTGGTTTTTGGTGCATTTGATGTGTCTCCTGGGTGCTGACCTTGTCCCTGTGTGTCCCCTCAGTGCTGCTGACAGCTGTGAACTGCTACAGTGTCAAAGCTGCCACCCGTGTGCAGGACGCCTTTGCTGCTGCCAAGCTGCTGGCGCTGGCTCTCATCATCATCCTGGGCTTCGTGCAGCTGGCCAAGGGTGAGTTCTGTTCCTTGTTCTCCTTCTGGGGCTCTGCAGGTGAAGCAGGGTGAGGAGCAAAGCCCAGGAGTCCAACCCCAGGTGCTCCAGAGCTTTGCAAACCTCTCCGTTCTCTCAGGTGCTTGGGGGATGTTTCCAGCTTTGTCAAAGGTTGAGGTTTTGTATTTTATTTGTGGGGTTTTATGTTTTATGTGCCAGGCTTGATTTCATGCTCCTGAAACCCCTTACAGTCTTTCCCACTTCCACAGAGACTGTGGCTTCTCCCTCTGGGATTGCAGGGAGTGAAAACGTTGGTGCTGCTGCACTGGGAAATCTCTTTGTAACATTTTGCTCACAGAGAATTATCTGCATGTGCAAACCACTCCCAGTCATCTTAATCCTTCCACAAACTCCCCCTGCACATTTCCCTTCATCCTGTTCCAGGTGTGCAGTGGCTCAGGCCAGCTCTGGGTCACCCAGGGACACCGAGGAACAGAGAGACTGGAGCTCTCAGCTGGCACCTGGAAAAGGACACAAAAATGGGAAAATAAAGCAGATTTTCTGGTGGTTCTGCTGGTTTGCTTCATGCACCCATAAAATCCTCTCAAAGCAGGGAAATGGTTTGTTCCAAACCCATCTGAGTTTGTTCCAAACCCAGTTAACTCACAGTTAAACCAAAGTGTGGCTTTTTGGTGCAAGTTTTGTGGGAATAAATGTGTCTTGGGGAACAGTCCTGTCCTTATTTGTAAAAAGGGGATAAGATCTCCAGGGAATCATGTCCCTGCACAGGGGTGTGTCTGTGTGTGCCCGTGGGTCTCTAATTCCTGTCTCAGCTCTGGGAGCCAGTGCTGTCTTTGCAGAATTTCTTGCTTTGTCAGAGGTTTTATTTTCTTCCAGCTCAGTGCAGACACTCAGCAGGGACATTGTTTGAGGCTTATCACAAAACACACCTCCTCTCTCTGCCCAGCTCCCCAGCCTGCTCTGCTGGACCTTCTTATCCTCTCCCAGGAGGAAAAGGATAAATCATGATAAATCTCTTTTAGTTGGTTAACATTTTACCATGAAGATTTTTACAACTGGGCTTTGTTTGCAGATAGAATCTTAATTTGCATCTTCAGAATGTGCTGTTCTTTTGGCCTTTCTGGGGAGGCTGAGCTACTTTCTGCCCTCAATGGAAATCCATGAAATTTTCCTTGTTTTCTGTCTAAACTAGACGAGATTTCTGCCCTGTTAAAATAAAACCCCCCTTCCCCTCATGTGTCCCAGGAGTTGTTTTACTTCCTTTGAAGTTTGTTGCAGTTTCAGGTGGTTGTGGCTGTGCAGACCTTGCAGGGCAGAGAATTCCCTGTGATTTATTTTCCTGCTGATCAAAAGCAATTCCTGGACAGTGACACCTGTAAGCAAAGACTTTTCTCCCTGTCTGAGCAGCCAACCCTCAAACCAGACTGGATCAGAGTGGGATCCTTGGGATCCACAGGAGATCCTGGTTCCAGATTTGTCCCAGGTGACCATTCCTGCTTGTCCAGAATCCCACAGCTGGGATTCTGCCTGGGCTCCATCATGGATTTTATTAATCTCCTTAGGGAGCTTCCAGGCTCTCTGCTAAGTCCTTAAGAATGTGCAAGCTCCTTTCCTGTCCCTTCCTCAGCTCCCACCTGCAGTTTGCACCTTGCTCCATTTTCCTTTCAATCATTCCAGGTCACTCTGTGCTTTTAGCAGGGATACAGCAAGAAATGGTCTTTTTTCTTCATTTTTTTATTCAAAAAAAGCACAAAAATTCTCGGTTTCAGTGACAATGGGAGAGCACTGCCCTGTCCTCCAGCTTTGTCCCACATTTCCACACCCTGTGCCTGTTCCAGTGTTGGTTTTTTGGATAAAGAGGGCTCTTCCCACCAGCAGCGGAGCCCATCCAAGCTGGCAGCAGTTTTGGGGTGAGACCTACACCCAGCTGGTTGTCAGGGGGAATGGGGTTGTGTGTTCCCAGGATGTTCTGGACAATGAACTGGTTTTACTGGTCCCTGTCCTACTGCTGGTTTGTGTTCCCAGTATCCATAAACAGCCCAGAGGAGCAACACCACATTTTTTTCTGCTGAAATGTGGAAATTTCTGTGATTTCACAGAAATCTCTCTGTATTAACCTCCCACCTTCAGCTTTTGGCTTTTTCTCTCCTCTCCTTGGCCATTTTCCTGGTTTGCAGAAGAGCAGGGATCTCACAAGGACAAAGACTCTGTGGCAGTTTTGCCCCATAAAAGAACATTTCCCTGTCAGCAGCTGTTTCCCATCACTCCTTCCCTGCCCTCCCCAAAGGGGGAGGCTGGAAGTTGGTTCCCTACTCAGCCTTTCGAGTGCTTGGAGGTTGACTCAGTAGAACTGAGCTGCTTCGGATGCAATTATTTTATTAATCCAAGAATGAAACTTTTAAAAGCCTTTTTGAGGCTGGAAATTTGTGGTTTGAAAAGTCCTTGATTTGGGTATTGGTTTGTAAGATCTTGTGTATGGCCTCCAGATTATAACCTGTAAATAATAGAAATAAATTAATTCAAATTAAATAAATAATAAATCACTTATTTAAATAGCTTACTTATAGAAATAACTTACTTAAATAATAGAAATAACTTAAAACATAGAGAGGATCAGAGTTTTTTCACTCCAGGATGATGAAAACAAGATTTATTTTGGTTCTCTTATTTTACCAGCTCTCTCAATTTACTTTCTGTCCAGCTGGGTATTTTTTGGCCATATTCCTCAGCTGAGGAGTGGGATATCTGAGACTGGATCATAGAGAAGATTTGGACAGCAGGTTTGAGGGATGTTTTTCCCCTGGATGTGACACATAGCTCTGTAGTTATATCCACACCTTAAAACTTCCTTTAAAAACTGACTGAGGTGTGAAATGGTCAAAAAATCTGGGTATTTCTTGAGGCACACCCTCATGGTTTTTACAGGTGAGGCAGTTCAGGAAAGGTTTTGATGTGAAAAAACTAGAAATAAACATATCACAGACATGTTTGATGTCTGTTTTTTCCCGTGGATGATGCCTCAGGGTTTCTGGAATGTTTCTGTGCCCTCAGGCAGCTGGAGCAGGGATGCAGCTCCAGCCCTTGCTGTGATCTCTCACCAGCAGCTCTCCTTAAAAACCTGGAATTGGGCCTTTGGGACTTAGAGAAATAGAATTTAACACTGATTTTATTGAATTGCTTTTATTGGATTTATTGTCCCTTTATTTATTGTCCCTTTTCTTTATCCTGGCTGTAAAATCCCTGCTCTGTGGTGCCTCCAGGAGCTGTTTGGTGGCAGCAGCATTTTTCTCCCTGCCTCCCTTGGGCTGTCAGGGATGCAGAGCTGCATCTGCCAGAGCAGCACGGGGTCAATTAAGGACAGAGCAGGCAGGTTTCACTCCAGAGCAGAGCTTAGGCTGGACAGGAGATTTGCCTTTAATTTGTGCCTTTTTTTTGTTGTTGCTGCTTTTGTCTTTTTTTTTTTTTAATTTTTGGGGGGTTTTGGTTTTTTTTTTTTCTCTTTTTTTGGGTTTGTTTTGTTTTTTTGTTTTTTTGTAGAATAATGGAATAATTTGGGTGGGACGGGATCTCTAAGCTCCTCCAGTCCCATCCCTGCCATGGGCAGGGACACTTTTCACTGTCCCAGGTTGCTCCAAACCTGGGAGGAAAGGAAGAGAGACTCAATTTTCCTTCCCTCTCTCTCAGTCACAGGATTCTTCACCCAAAAAAGGCAGGGAAGAAAATGTGGACTGGGAACTACCAGAATAACCCCTAGGGAGAAATACAGAGGCCAAAGGGGTGTTTTGTAGCAAAAGGGATTTGATAAATGAAAGCAGCACCCAGATGTCTCAACCCCACAGTGCCAGACGTCTCCTTGCACCTGGAGTACTAAAAATGGCATTTTAAGAGCCAAGCTCTGCTCACTGAAGGTCTGAATCATCCTTCTGGTACTTTCAGAACCCTCCTAGCAGAGTTCTGGATTTCCAGCCGCAACATCACTTTTTAAACAGCTTTTTACAAGCAATACTGGCAGGGCTGGCTGGGGTTGTACCCTGGGGCAGACCTGGAGAGGTTCCCAGAGAAGCTGGGGCTGCCCCTGGATCCCTGGAATGTCCAGGCCAGGCTGGACAGGGCTTGGACAATCTGGGACAGTGGAAGGTGTCCCTGCCATGGCAGGAGTGGCACGGGAGGAACTTTGAGGTCCCTTCCCACCCTGAGCATTCCAGGATTCCCTGGTCAGCCAAGGAGCGGTGACAGGAGCCTGGAGCCCACCAGGGATCCTCCCTGGAGCCAAACCCAATGGATGGGGAACATCCTGAGGGCACAGGAGGATGGCAGGGACAACAATTCCTGCTGCTGCTGTCCCCTGGCATCCCGAATAAAGCCTGCCATGCTTTTTATGGAGCTTTGCAGGGAGGCTCCTTCCTCATCCTCCCCTGGCCACAGGGACAGTGAAGCAGGGACAGCTACCACACTGTGCCCCTCTAAATCACAGCAGCCTCCTGCTGCAGATTAATGAGATTAATCAAATTAATCTGATTAATCAGGTGGCAAACGCTTTTCCTGCCTCATTTCCCTGAATTGTCCCTGTTTTTCCTCCTCCTTTGGGGCTCTGGGTACAGCCACCCCATGTGCTGAGGGCCCCCTCTCCCCACAGCCGTGTTGGGGCAAGTTGAAAATATTTAATTATGCTGCACCGCTTTGTGCAGGAGAAGATTGCTGTGCTATTAAAACCAGACTAGACATGACTGGGGAGCAAATGAACATTTTGGAAGGAAGGGCCCGGGCACGCAGCGCCCCAGCCGGGCCCTCCCTCAGGCCTCCCGCAGCAGGGCCCCGCTGAGCCGCCACAATTCCCGGCACAATTCCCGCACTCTTGGCAGCTGCAGGAGCCCAAATGGGCTTTGTGTCACAGCTCGTTACCTTAATTTGGTTAATTGTAGAGCAGAGTGCGGTGGAACAGCCGGTTCAAACCAGGCTAACCAGGCTGGGGCTCTCCGGGCAGTGCCTGGAGCAGGGATGAGCTGGGGATGCCCCAAGGCTGAGCTTGGCAGCCTCACCTGCACATTTGTAACCGTGATTTCAGCCAGACTCAAAAATCCAAAATCCTGCGGCTGGAATTGGCCAGGCTTGGAGGATGGAGTGAGTGCCTGGGAGCTTTTGGAGGTGGTGCAGCACAGCCGCTCTCCCTCCTCCCCCAGCACACCCCAGCTTGGCAAGGTGGGGTTGGATCAAAGCTCCAAATTAGGATCAAACCTAAATAATTTCGGGATTTTTCAGCAAGGCTTGTTGAGGGGATGAGGGGTAAATGGTTTTAAACCAGCAGGTTTAGATGAGATACAAGGAAAAAATCTTTTATGCTGTAGATGGTGAGATACAGGCACTCCTCTGGTTGTTTAATTGTGTCCTGACACGTTGCTAAATCCATTTGACCCTGAGGCACAGAAATGGGAAATTTTTAACAACTCGGGAGGTTTTGGGGAGCTCCAGCTCTCCAAAGGTGAGGTGGGAAGGGCAGTGAGGTGTTGGCTGCCTCAGGAGAAGGAACATTTGGTATGAGAGGGTTTTGCCTGTGACAGACAAGGAGGATTTTGGAAGAGCTGGTGTCCAGCTGTGGACAAGAAATGGAATGGTGTTCGTGCTGCTCAGGAGCATCCTCCTGGCTGATGGTCCATGGATCAGGGTGGGAACACGGAGAGCCTGAAACCCTGGAGAAGAGATATCCTGAGAGCCTCCAGCTCTCCCAGTCCATCCGTGTGCTGTTGCAGTCTCTAATTGCAGGCACTGTGAACAAAATGTGTCTCTTATTCCCATAACAAAAGGCCTGGAAAGAACCAGACTGGTAATTATTCAGGAAGGGCAGAAAATGAGGTGGGGAAAGCTGAGCTTGAGGGATGCAGGGGATCACATTCCACCCCTCCTGCTCAGCCCTTTGATTCACCTGGGCTAAATTGGGATTCTGTGCAGAACCTGCAAGGCAGGAATTGAGGTTAAACTCAGCCTTTTATCAGTCTCTGCATTTCCTGGCTCTCCTGTTGCACTCAGATTTGCTTTTAAAAAAGGATTGGTGCGTTTTGCTGAGGAGGATCAAATAGATCCTGCACATCCCAAGGGAGATGCAGGGAAGACCTTTCTGGTGCAAGGAGCTGCTGGGAAAGAGGTGACTCCAGCAGAGAACAGTTGGGATTGGGATCTGGGCAGGAGGAGCCTTGCACACCTTGGGTTTCCCACTCTGGATGGGTTCCCAGGCTGTGGATGAGCAGCTCACACCCACAGCATCCCCCTGCACATGAGATGGCTCCAGCCAGGGAAAGACAGAGGGATGCTGCTTCCCTGGGCAGCAGAGAGCATTTCCCATGCTGTGATAAGCAATGTCTTTCTACCCTGGTCAGGATTCAACAGGAGGGAGAAAGGAGAAGGGAGCAATGCCCAGGGTGGAAAGGATCAGGATAGAGCTGGAGGGTCAGGGAAGGAGAAGGAAAGAGGAGATGGAGCTCTCCCCCCATGCAGGGCAGCTCCAGCTCACTGGCAGAGCTTTGGAGCAGCCCCATCAGTGACAGATGCTCCAGGATGGTGCTGCAGGAAGAATCCTTCTTCCCCAGCACTGGGAAGATGAGTGGGAGCTGTTCCAGGGCCACGTTTGTCACCCAGCCTCTGCAGCAGTGGCACTGGGGAGGGAGAATTTCCAGTGAGGCAAGAAGAGAGGCCATCCAGAGGGAAAATTCCTGCTGCTGGAGCATCCCTGAGCTTTTCCAGCAGCACCTCCTGGGTGCCCAGTGCCGAGGGGTGAAGGGTTAAGCTGTGGGCCCTGCTGACTGCCTTGTGATGTGGTTGCTGGGGGTGATTAGGAGAGCTCCCTGCCCTAAGAGGAATCACATGGGCTCCCCCTGGGTGCAGAGTGCCCCTCTGGATCCCACCACATTCCCTGCACTCTGTCTGGGAGCAGGCTCTGCCATCCCTGTCCCACAGCCAGCCCCTCCATCAAAGACAGGGAACAAAACAACTGCAGAGCATTTGAAAGCAAAATAAATAAACCTGGGGCTGCTCAGGGAGAGCTGCGACCAGAGGCACAATCAAATCTTCTATTTCTGGCGTTTTCTTTCAAAAGCAGATCCACAACAGGAACTTTTGATCATCAGGCCCTAAAGAAGGTGACTTCTGATATCCAAACCCCCAGAACCTGACTTCCCTCAATCAAAGGGATTGCCACAGGCTTCTGCTTTATCAGGTGGCTGGTGGGACTGGAGGAAATCCTGGGTTTCTGGGGGTTTGGGTGGCTGGTGGAAGTGCAGGAAATCCTGGGGCTTTATCGAAGGCCAGCAGCCTGGAGTTGAGAGGACAATGTGACAATCTCTGTTTGCAAAGCATCTTCCAGCAGGAAGGTCCCCAGGATGTCTCTGGGACATCACCTTGGCGACAGCACGTCGCAGTGTGAGAAAGTTTGGAGGAATCAGTCCTTGCTTGAGATGAGTTTTTGGGGTCATCATTTGGGGATGAACCCAGCTGGATTGATCTTTGGAAAACCGGAGGGAAAACGTGCCTGTGCTCAGCATAACCCAAAAAGCAGCAGGGTGATAATTAAAATAATTTCATCCTAAGAGCAGCTCTAGCCTCCAGGTTTCTCTGGAGGCCTTTGGGGTTCAGAGGCCGTGGCTGTGAGCAGGGTTTGTGTCCTGCAGGTGATGTGGAAAACCTGACCCCTGACAAATCCTTCGAGGGCACCAAGGTGGGCGTTGGGAACATCGTGCTGGCTCTGTACAGCGGCCTCTTTGCCTATGGAGGATGGTAAGGCACAGCCCTCTCTCCCTCCCACACTGAGCTCAATTCCAGCTCCAATTCCAAACTAAAGCTCCTGCAGGGCTCCTTTGTCAGTCCTCTGAGCACCTGCTGCTCCATTTGCTGTGAAAAGAGGCCACTGGTAGTCATCCTCATCATGGAATGATTTGGGTTGGGAGGGACCTTCAGGATCATCCAATGGGCAGGGACACCTCCCACCATTCCAGGTTGCTCCATGCCCTGTCCATCATGGCCTTGGATATCAGCCATCCTAAGTTTTCCCACAGGATCAGTGCCTGTGCCCCTCCTGGAATCCCTGTGCAGATGAGTTAAACTGGTGGGGTTCATTTCACTAAAATTAACCTCTGTCCTTTTGAAATTGCAGGAATTACTTGAATTTTGTGACAGAAGAGATGATAAATCCCTACAGGTAGGTGTGAGTCCTGGCATGACTTCCCTGGGGAAAAGCAGCTGTTTTGGGGAAGCCCTTTCCTCATGTGTTTAACGAAGCCAAGGTCTTCATCTGGAAAAAGAGAAAACAAGATAAATTAATGACCTTCTGCCTCCCTGGAATCAGGGAAAGGGAACAATAATTCCTGCAGTTCCTGCAGTTGTTTTCCCTGCTCTCCCGTGCCGTGTTATCAGCGCTGAGAGAAATCTCTGCTTCCTTGGCTTGACACCTCTGTGAGTTATGGGCCAGGAAAGAGCACTCAGGGCTTTATTGCTGCCTTGGTTCAACTCCCACTGAGCATTTGTGCTGCTGTCCATGTGTTTGTGCTGCTCTCCATGTGTTTGTCCCGTGCTCTTCCATCCTGTTGAGCAAGAGCTGCTTCCTGCTCTGCCCGTGCCTCTCGGGGTTGTTTGGGGCCCTCAGCAGAGTGGGACAGTGCTGAGCAATCCCTTCTGCTCCTGGGAAGGTTATTTGGGGCCCTCAGCCGAGCAGAACAGTGCTGAGAAATCCCTTCTGCTCCTGGGAAGGTGCCTGGGAGCTGCTGGGAGCCGAGGCTCGGGGGCACTTGTGCAAGAGCCCATCCTGGCTGACCCTGGGGCTGCTTTGGTCCTGCTGGGAAGCACAGGGCTGGATCCGCCCCTTCCCAGAGAAACAGCAGAAGGGGGGGCTGCATTTTGCAATTATTTTCATGTCTGCTGGATGCAGTTGTGGTATTTGACTCTGCTCCTGCAGCTTGGAGCTCTGCTGGAGCAATTAGAGTGGCACCAAGCAGGGTCTCCTTTTGCACTTTCCCTTCACAAATGAAATTAAACTGTTGGGAAAGGCAAATTTGTACCAACACAGGCTGTTCACAGACCTGCTTAGGCTGTGCCTGAACTCCTTTTCTTTTGAGTTCCCTCAGTCCAGACAGCTGAGTTTAGGTAGAGCCTAAAACTGCCCAGTGCATCCCTGAGATTCCATTTCCCCCAGGAATCCCCCCAGCACCAGGGAGCTCTTTTGCCCAGAGAGAATCCTTGTGCTGATGCCACTGGTTATTTTTAATTAAAGATCTTGGATTCCTGCTTGCCTAGGCAGCCAGGGCCTCTCCATGCAAAAAATCCCTTCTGCCATCATCCTTCCCTCTCCATCTGCAGCCTCCAGGCTGTTCAGGGGCCACCTTGAGGCTGGAAAAGACCTTTAAAGCTGTGAACCAGCATGATGTTCACCAATAACCATGGCTCAAGTGCCATATCCAGGTGTTTTTTGAGGGATGGGGAGACCCCCACTCCTTGGGCAGCTGTTCCCTTGTGGATATCCCCTGTCTCAGGGGAGCAGCGAGTGCCTGCTCAGAGAACAGAGTGGCTCAAAGCCAGCGAGCACGGGAGGGTGGCCATCCCTGGGATCAGCAGCTCCCTCCTGCGAGCTGCTCCAGGACAATGGATGTTTTTTTCCTAGAAACCTGCCCCTGGCTATCATCATCTCGCTGCCTGTTGTCACGCTGGTGTATGTGCTGACCAACTTGGCTTACTTCACCACGCTGAGCACCGAGCAGATGCTGACGTCCGAGGCTGTGGCCGTGGTAAGATCCCGCTGCTCCAGCCTGACTCATCCCAGGGCAGGTGAAATCAGCCTTGGAATCACTGCACACATCTCCTGCTTTGTTCCAGGCTGCTCGGGGCTGCTTGCAGAAACCCTGATGTTGAGCAGGAGATAAAGAGCAGGGAAGAACAGCGTGATCCCGAGGGGATTATCCTGGGCAGCAGTGAGGGTGGCACTCAGTGCTGCAGCTTCATTCATGCTGGCCTTGTGACTGCCCATCACTTACCAGAGCTTGATATTTATGGGGAAAGGTCACTCAGCCAACACTGAACTGGATTGTTCTCTCTCCGTGTCTTCCTTGTTTTAATTAAGAGAGAAAAATAATACTTGTATTAGTTAAAATGCCAGTGTGGTCGGGAACCCTTATGGCTTCAGAAAGGAGCAGACCTTGCAGACTGAGCCTGACCAGGATTGTTCAGGGCTTCAGGGGGAATCTCCCAGCCCAGGATGAGCTGAGCCCCTCAGGTGACACCGCTCCATCCTTCAGCTTGGGACCAAGGCCCTACTCCAGCTACAGCCTGTGCTGCAGGGAATCCTGGAGTGGTTTGGGTGGGAAGGGACTGAAAGCTCATCCCATCCCACCCCCTGCCACAGGCAGGGACACCTTCCACTGTCCCAGGTTCTCCAAGCCCTGTCCAGCCTGGCCTGGAACAGCAGAGGCTGGAAATCGATCCCGTAATGCTGCTGCAAACCCGCAGTGGAGCAGCACAGGCTCAGCCTGCGACAAAAAGCTGCAGGGCCAGGTCCCTGTGTGTCCCCAGAGCTGGTCCCAGCCCCTGACACAGCAGGGCCAGGTCCCTGTGTGTCCCCAGGCTGGGTCCCAGCCCTTGACTCAGCAGGGCCAGGTCCCTGTGTGTCCCCAGGCTGGTCCCAGCCCCTGACTCAGCAGGGCCAGGTCCCTGTGTGTCCCCAGGGCTGGTCCCAGCCCCTAATTCAGCAGGGCCAGGTCCCTGTGTGTCCCCAGGCTGGTCCCAGCCCCTGACACAGCGGGGCCAGGTCCCTGTGTGTCCCCAGGGCTGGTCCCAGCCCCTGACTCAGCAGGGCCAGGTCCCTGTGTGTCCCCAGGCTGGTCCCAGCCCCTGACACAGCGGGGCCAGGTCCCTGTGTGTCCCCAGACTGGGTCCCAGCTCCTGACTCAGCAGGGCCAGGTCCCTGTGTGTCCCCAGGCTGGGTCCCAGCCCCTGACTCAGCACTTGGCAGGAGCTGCTGTCTGAGTTGCTCCGTTTCCGTTTGGTCTTGAACTTTCCGATAGCTGGTGGATAAATGTCGTGTCCTGGCCCCGAGGGAAGGGCTGGCTGGCTGCTGATGTATTTTGGCAGTTCCACAATCTGCTTTTTCAGGAAAGGGGAGCAGCACATGGGAATTTGGGAAACTCCGTCACAGCTTCAGCACTGAGCTGTGGCATTTGTTGAGATTTCTCCAAATACTCTCTGTAGGCAGCTCTGAGTTTTTTGGGACACTGTGAGCGTGAAATGTCTCTTGTTGTCCCCCATTTAGGATTTTGGGAACTACCACCTTGGTGTCATGTCCTGGATCATCCCTGTCTTTGTGGGGCTCTCGTGCTTTGGGTCTGTCAATGGATCTCTTTTCACTTCTTCCCGGTAGGTTCCTTGCTCAATCCTGTGGGTTTTGTTTACAGGCTGTGCTCAGTTCCTCACCCTTTGGAGAGGGGCTGTGGGCAGACACAAAGTCTGCAGGGCCTGGAGGCCACGTCGGGAATGCAGGAAGACAAAGTCAGACTTTAAACCAGATTAAAGGCAACCTTTTAGTGGTGTCAATCTTCTGTTCCTCTGGCAAAGTCCTGGTGAGGTCAATAAACAGAACCAGACACAGACTCGGGGCTTGGGGCTGCTGAGAAAGTGGCTTTCATGAGAAGCAGAAAGTTGGGAAATTCAGGGATGAGAATCCCTCGGGAAGGGGTGAAATGCTGGGCAGGGGCAGGACTGACATGGTTCCAGCTCTGACACATCCCTGGGTTGCCTGAGGAGTCACTTAATTGCTGTCTCTGGAGAGCAGGATAGAAATCCATCCTTCCTGCATTCCTTGGCCGTGTCCAGCCTCCCTGGTGAGCAGGGCTGGTGTTCCAGTCCTGCCTCAGGGCTGAGCTCGGGCTGGCCCCACTTGTTCTGTGCTGAGCACAGAGCCCTGCAGGGCTGTGACAGGACTGTGTCCCCTCTCTGTGTCCCCTCCCAGGCTGTTCTTCGTGGGATCCCGAGAGGGGCACCTGCCTTCCATCCTGTCCATGATCCACCCCCGGCTGCTCACCCCCGTCCCGTCCCTCGTGTTCACGGTGAGCCCTGGGGCCGGGCTGGGGGATGGATCAGGGCTGGGATCCCACTGGAATGGAGCCACAGCCATTCCTGCATGTGCCCACCCTTCCCATCATGTCCTCATTGTCCACTTCTGTCTTGGAATTCTTCCCGTTCCTGGAAGTGTCCAAGGCCAGACTGGACAAGGCCTGGAGGAAGCTGGGATAGGGAAAGGTGTCCCTGCCCATGGCAGGAGGTTGGAACTAGAGGTCCTTTAAGCTCTGAGGTCCTTCCAACCCAAACCATTCCATGATCCTATGAAATGGTTCCAGGCACCAATTGAAAATAGCTTAAATAAGTAAAAACCAGTGTGATCCCTTTCCTGACAGGTATTTCCCTTAAATACCCCTGTTTAGTATTGTAACATAGGTGGTTTTGCCTGCTCCCTTTCCTAATGGCCTTTTCCCTAAATTCAGTGTGTCATGACCCTGCTCTATGCCTTCTCCAACAACATCTTCTCAGTCATCAACTTCTTCAGCTTCTTCAACTGGCTCTGTGTGGCCCTGGCCATCATCGGGATGATGTGGCTGCGCTACAAGAAGCCAGAGCTGGAGAGGCCCATCAAGGTGAGACCAGGGTGGGCACTGCCAGGGGACCCCTCCCCAGCACCAGGGGAGGCTCAGCTGCTGCTCCTGCATGGAAAAGGGGCTGGGACTGCAGGGCAGTGTTGTGGTGTAGCTAAAGGAGGTGTCCCTGTTGCTGAATCCAGCACAAGGAGCTGCCTTGGGGACAGCACAGTGAGGGAGCTCTGGGTGACAGGGGCAGGGCGTTGTGGTGGGGTTACTCTCCCTGAGTCCCAGGACAGATCCCAGGCTGTGGCTCTCAGTGTAACACTCTACCCCTGTGGAATTCCCCAAAAATAGTTTTCTGCTAAAGCAGCCAGCCCATGCCAAGCTCTGTCCCTGGTGTCCTTGGCCAGCTTGGCAGCCCCGTGTCCCATCTGGGGGGAGGCCAAGATCCTGTCAGCCCCTGGTGCCTCTTCCCCAAAAGCTGTTTTTTCCTCATCCCATGGCACACTCTGCCCAGCAGCAGCACCCACAGGGAAACAAACCCATGGTCCTGGACCAGTGACTTCCCAAAGGGAATCTTGGCTGGCTCTTCCCACAGGTTTTGGGGTTTTCTTCTCAAAGCTGGGCTGCTCTGGTGGGTGCCCTGCTTGGAGTCCCTTGGGAAACAGCCCCAGCTTGTGCTGTGCCTCTGCTGGATGTTTGGTGCTGATGATTTGGCTATGGAATTATGGAAATGAGGTCCAAAAAGGCTCTTGGCCGTGGGGGATCAATAGTTCTGTCCCTCCCAGGCTGGATAAAGTGCTGGAAGGCCTCCCCTGGCACATCTGCTAAGCTGTCCCTTGCTCCCTGCTCAGGTGAACATCTGCCTGCCCATCTTCTTCATCCTGGCCTGCCTGTTCCTCATCGCCGTTTCCTTCTGGATGACGCCCAAGGAGTGTGGGATCGGCTTTGCCATCATCCTCAGTGGGATCCCCATTTACTTCTTCGGGGTCTGGTGGCAGAACAAGCCCAAGTGGGTTCTCCAAGGCATCTGTGAGTATCTCCAGGGAGGAGCAGCTTTGGCTCCCAAGAAGTTTCCCAGTGCTGGCTCTCCTCCCTCTGGAGAAGCTTCCAGAATCCTGGCTCTGCTCCATTCTTCTTTCATGGGAACAAGTTTATCCTGATGATTACCATGTATGCCAGGCATCCAAAATGCATCCTGATGTGCAATAATGGCGAAGTCTGGGACCAATACCATGTGTTTGGGGGATTTTAATCCTGACAAAGAGCTTGTTAGCAGCAGAGCAGAATTCCCTGCTCCTGAAAAAGCCCAGGGCCAAGCCTTTGCTCAGCCAAGAATCCCTTCCCAGTGGTGTAGGAAGGATTGAGCACAGCTGGCCCCCATTTGACAGCTGAAAATCCACAATTAGTCCCAGCCCGTGGCTTAAGCAGTGCTGACATTTGGGATCCAGACAAAGCTTTCCTTGGCATCCCCTCTGTGGCAGCAGAGCAGAGAGACGGGAGCTCCCCTGGATGTTTTCTCTCAGGTTTATTTTTAAGGTGTCTACTCCAAGGTTTTCCACCAGCTGCCATAAGGCCAGGGTGTGTTTGAGGGATGGAGAGGCTGTGCTTGGCACATGGAACCTCAACAACAGCCCAGGAAGTCAATCCCTGCTGCCCGAGTGACTGAGCTCAGCAGCTGCCTCCCCCTCTCCTGCCAGGGGCTGACCTAGAAAAGCAGGCAAGGAGAAGTGCCCAGCCTGAGCTGGGTGTTTCATGAGGAAGAAAAAAGCTTTCAGCAGCACTCAGCACTTGTTCTTCTTCTTTTCCCCCTGTCTCTCTCTCTGTCCCTCTGTCCCACACTCACTTTTTTACCCTGGATATTAGGCTCAGTTACTGGAAAAGCCAATTTTGCAATGCCAGGGTGGTAAATTACCATATTCATTGTTTTCCTCCACCAAAGGATTGTAAGGAGAATATTGAAAATATTATGGGAACAGACAGTGATAGTTCTGCAAATGTCCAGTGAGAAACACAGGAGCTTTAAATGTGATTTATTGATATATTGCAGGTAATTGGATCACCTCCAACTGATCTGAGTCTCACTTGGTTATGCTTAGAATTAATTAGTTTTACCATGCAGGAATAGTTTGTGATCTCCAACCAGAGCGGAGCAGAGGAGTATTTGGATGGGTGGGATAATAAAATTACTCCAGTTTAGCACCTTTTCCTGGGAAACCTGCACCTGGAACGGTCCCTTTGGTCCCACCTGCCCTGAGCCAGGCAGTGGCCTTTGCTCTGTGTGCAGGACAGGGGACTTTGGGTGGGTTTGTCCTTCAGAAGAGGCTGGGGGCTCACGTGGCTTTCAGAATTGGAAGTAAAAGCTTCACCTTGGATTTTCCATGCTGATTCCTGACTCAATTTTGGCTGCTCCCATTCAGAGCATCCACAATTAGGTCCACAGTTAGTGTCAGCAGGCAAGGAGAAGCTGTGTCCAGGAGTAGGGAGCATCCATGGGATGGAGTAGGGGTGTCCATGGGATGGAGTAGGGAGCATCCATGGGATGGAGTAGGGGTGTCCATGGGATGGAGTAGGGACTATCTGTGGAATATTTCAAGCCTTAGTTGGACTCAGGGTGGGGAGGCAGAGGGCTCAGCCCTTCCCTCATGGACTCAGGGTTTTGCTGGGGGTGATCCCTGACCTTTCCTTTGCTTTCTCTGCAGTCTCCACCACCGTGCTGTGCCAGAAGCTGATGGAAGTGGTTCCTCAGGAATCCTAGGCAGGAAAAGCAGGGACTCTGAGCTCGAGGAAACGCACAAGGTTATTCTGAGATGACACAAGGATCCGACCCCTCACTCCCCAGTCCCAGGCGCCGGAGCTGCCTCCTGCTGCCACCACTGCCCCAAGGCTCTGCTCACCTCCTGCAGCCCCTCCAGCCCCTCCCAGCCCTGCAGAGCAGCCAGAAGAAGTCCTTGGTACGAGCCAGGAGGAGGAATTCCAAAGGGCAGTTCCAGAGGGGTGCTGCCTGTGCCCTTTGTATGTGTGTGAGGGCTGTGCTTGGCTCTGGGGGCTCCTTTGCTTTGGCTCTGGGGTCTGCTGGAGCCTGGTTTGAGTGTTCAGAGGGCCTGGTGGGGGCTGGAGCTGCCACAGAGCCCTGGGAGGGTCCTGAGCTGCCTTACCTGGCCCAGGTGGGGGGTGGGAAGCAGAGGTTGGCTGATGTTGTCTCACTCCCCCAAACTCACACCCCCCTATGCTGCTGGACACTGGATGTGGGGGGGCCTCATCCGAGTGTCACTGTGCCCCTCACTCGGGGCCCTGCCACCCTTTGGATTTGGATCACCACTCCCAGATCCAAGCCAGCTCCCTGCTGCTGAGCCAGTCCTCCAGGATGCTCTTCCCCACAGTGCCCATCCCTGGGAATGAGCACTGAGGGGGCAGTTCCTTCAGGAGCTGCAGTCAGCAGAAGGCCAAGTCCTCGGCTTGTTCATTCCATGCTTTTCTGTGCCAGGCTTTCATCCAGCATGGGATGAGCAGCTCTGTGCTCTCTCTCCTCATGGCTCTGCTCAGGGAGCCATGCTTGCCCCTAAACCACGTGCTGAGAGAAATAAAGGGTGGGGATTGCCCTGGCACAATCCCTGGGCAGTGTCTGTGCTCTGCCTGGCGCTGTTCCCTTTGTCCTGCCGTGTTTCCTCTGGAATGTGCCACGGAGATGGGACCAACTGGCTCTGGGCTGTGGAGAAGGGCAGATGTCCTGGCTGGCTGGAGCCACCTCGAGCTGCTGGAGATCTGGTTTGGGTGGGAAGGGACCTCACAGCCCATCCAGTGCCACCCGTGCCATGGCAGGGACACCTCCCACTGTCCCAGGCTGCTCCAAGCCCTGTCCAACCTGGCCTTGGGCACTGCCAGGGACCCAGGGGCAGCCCCAGCTGCTCTGTGCCAGCCTCCCCACCTCTGAGTAATGAAGGTGAGTTCTGCTCTGAGGAGCAGAGCCTGGGCCTGATCCTCCTTCATGCATCAGGTCCCAGCACCACCCCCCCGTTCCAGGAGTGATCCCTGAGCACCATCCACGATCTGCAATGTGAAATCCTGGTTTGCTCTCATGGGCGGTGCCATCCCATCCCTGACAGCCCCAGAACTCCTGTAGTTCCCAAGTAGGTCAGCACTGTCCCCTTAGGGACAAGCTGCTTTCTTTGGTTCAAGTATCACCTTTTGGAAAGCTGTAGTTCCTGAACCATTTGCTCATTGTGCCTCTGTGCTCCGACATCACCTGGAATTCTGATCTTTTCCCCACTGGAGCTGCTTTGCTGTCTCTGTTGCAGATTTTTGTGCTTGTGCTTTGTGCAGGTGGCTTGGTGAACTGTTTCCCTTTTTTTTAAACGTGGCTGTTGTGAAGCCAGGCTGCTCCAGGAGCTGTCGCTTCCCGCTGGATTCTCCTTGGAGCAGAGTTCTTTGGGGTGAAGGGGTGTTAGGGACGCTGTGGTTCTCACTCAGCCTTTGTCCTGGGAGGTTCTGCAGCACTGCAGGTTGTGTTGGGGCAGGGGCAGCTCCTGCCCAGCTCTGTGGCCGTGTCCAGGTGCAGCTCCACACTCCCACTTTGCCAGCCCCGTGTCCTGCTCCGAGGCAGGAGCAGGGGAGACAATCAGCTCTTTATTCCATGGCAGCTGGGGTGGAGATTCCCAAATCAGCTCAGTGACAGTGTAGAGATTCCCAATCCAGCTCAGTGACAGTGTGGAGATTCCCAATCCAGCTCAGGTGACTGTGGAGATTCCCAGTCCATCTCCCTGGCAGTTGAGTTAATCCAGGGGGATTTGCAGCTGCTTTGGGAATATCCAGAGGGCAGACCCCAAGGTTTTTGGCCAGTGCAATGAGTTGGAGCATCTCAGATCTGATGCCTGTGGAGAGGCTTTGGCATAAATAAGGTCAGGAATCACAAAACCTGAACTCGAGTTTTGGCTTCTTCCAGCTGAAGGCTGAGATGGTTTTGAGCAGTGATGGGAAATCAGAGCTCCTGCTAGACCTGCTCCATGGAGAGGGGACCTCGGTCTGTCACCTGCCACACAAAGCTGCAGGTTTTTTGGCTGTGAGGTCTCAGGGCAGCTCCTGCAGGACCTGGGTTCAGCATGGGGGCTCTCAGTGCCAAAACCCACCAGCAGAATTCCTTGGGATGCAAAGCAAAGGCATTGGAATCTCAACCCAAAGTCAGCTGGCACCAAGGGCCCTCCACAGAGAGCTCAGGACTGGGACCAGATCCCCCAAAGGTTGGCTTGTACACATTGTCCATCAGGTGATGACCGTCACAGTGTCCTCCTGGTGCCCCTTTCACACTGCTTTGAAAGAGGAGCTGTCACACTAAAAAATATTTTTTAAGCAATCAACGGATTTTAATTAAATCCTTAACTGGCTTGCTTTGCTTTTTGTGGATTTCCATGATTTCTCACTTGCTGCTGAAGATTTTATCTTGTACTAACCTGAGGCTCTGGCACTGATCCCACCTTGATGAGCATCTCATCAGCATCTCCTTGGCAATAGAGGTTTAGGAAGAAACTGAACCAGGTACCAGCACAGAGCCACAAAAAGGCTGGATTTGGTCAGCCACAGCTCACATCTCAAAGTTGATCTGCCAAAAAGCTGATTTCTTTCACCCTGGAGTCATTGATCCCCCGTAGCTGCCCTCCACCAGAGCTTGGTGACGCAGCTGGAAGAGCTTGGGTTGGTTTTTCCTGGAGGTTTGGGAGATGATGAGGGAAGGGGTAAAACTGAATTTCATTTTAGAAAGAAAAGACAAGAAGATTGCAATCATGGAAATGTCTGCCACAGCCTCTGCTGTCCGGTGTGGCAGCTTTTCCCTTGGATCAGCAACATCTGCCCCCAACTTGTGCTGTTCTGATGGGTTTGGGTATGGAAAAGGGAGAATTCACCCCTGGGAAAGACCTTGCTGGTTGTTTTCCTCAAATATGGAGTGAGATGTGTCAGGGAGGGCAGGGGGAGCGACAGAGAGTTCCCAGAGTTTCCCATCCTTCCCAGCACTGGGATTTTTTCCTGTTGTTTCTCTGCTGTGCTCTTTGGAGGCTGTGGTCAGGCAGGGAGGGAGATGGACGCTCCCCACAAGGACTCTGCAACCACAGTGACCTAGGGGAGGTTCCACAGGAATTTGTTCCATTGGCAGCTCCCTGCAAGTCCAGCTGGAGCTGTTCTGTCCGTGGAATTCAGCTTGGAAAAGACCTTGAAGGTGATGGAGCCCGATGGCAGCTGTGCCATGATCCCGTGCTCCTTGAACTGACCCCAGCTTCCAACTCTTGCTCCTCTCCAGCTGTTTTTGAGTTCAGGCTCCCAGGCTGGCAGTTGTTTGGGGTGTTCACAGAATTGCATCCTGCAGGGATTGCTAAACAGAGCAGGAGCTGCTGGCCAGGCACTTCCATTCCCGTTGGGTTCCTCTTTCTACATGAGCCCTTCCTCCAGCTGGGAGGGAAACCAGCCCTGCAAAAACCAGGGGGGTTTATGTCATCCTGGTGGATTTTTAATGATTTATTTTTTTTTAACTTCCTGCAGAATTTGCAGTGTTTTCCATCTCAGACACCATGTTCTGGTAAACAGGCTTTTGTTTGGAACGGCCCCCTCGGTGGCCACGGAGTTCAAAGGGACTCTGGCACAGTTGAACAAACTTTAAAGGCCCTTCAGCTGGATTGAAACTCCTGGGAAGTGGCTTTGTTGTTGTCCAAGTCCTCTCCCAGTGGGTGGCTCAGGCAAGGGAATAAATTGGGCTCCTCCATGGGCTGCTGTGGTGGGTCCGGGCAAAGGGCAGCCCCAGGGCAGGGCGGCTCCGGGCTGGTGCTGAGCTCGGGCTGGGATTGAATTCCAGCCTTGTACCAGCCCTGGGAGCATCCCGAGCTCTGGAATGAACCAGAGCCAGCCACGCCTGGCTGCCAAGCAGGGAGATCCTGCAGGGGTGGGAATCTGTTCCTTCATCCCTGCAGGAATGGGAATCTGCTTCTTCATCCCTGCAGAGATGGGAATCTGCTCCTTCATCCCTGCAAGGATGGGAATCTGCTCCTTCATCCCTGCAAGGATGGGAATCTGCTCCTTCATCCCTGCAGAGATGGAATCTGCTCCTCCATCCCTGCAGGGATGGGAATCTGCTCCTCCATCCCTGCAAGGATGGGAATCTGCTCCTGCATCCCTGCAGGAATGGGAATCTGCTCCTCCATCCCTGCAGAGATGGGAATCTGCTCCTCCATCCCTGCAGGGATGGGAATCTGCTCCCTCATCCCTGCCAGGAGACCCTGGAGACCTCGGTGCTGAGGGAAGCTCCAGGGGCTCCTCATTCCAGGTGGCTCCTTGAGGAGTTCCACCCAGGATTTTGCTGGCTTTTCAAGTTCTTCCCAGCTGGAACTGGAACTGGGTTGGGAATGTGTGGGGGATGCTCTGGTGCAACCAAGAGCTCCCAGTTTGGTGGCTCGGGGTCGGTGATCCCAAGGATCCCAAATCCAGAGGATTATTCCTTGCCCGAGAAGGGGATTTGCTTCCTCCAGCTGTGGAAGTGGTAATGATTAAAAATAAAAAGTATTTTTTTAAACACTGAATTAATTTCTAAACTGCCTAAGAGAGACTTTATAGCTACACCTGAGTTCTTCCCCAGGGCTGTGCCCAGCACAGGAGCTCTCCCTCATCCTGGTGAGGCTGTGCTGGGATCAGCAGAGGCATGGGGAAAAAAAACTCCTGAATTGTTCAGAGGACAGGGGGAGGTCCATGTCCCACCAAAATCCTTGGAGAGGGAGGATCTTGAGTGGTTCCCAGACCTCTCTCCCCCCTCAGAACAAGGGAGGATGACCTTCACTCCTGGTGGAGAATCTGACTTTTCAGAGACACTTCGTTTCGTATTTTTTTTTTTTTTAACACAGAAAAAATAAGGCTCTTAACACACACAAGAAAACCTGAACCTGATTTATAATTTTGTTACATTTGGTTGCTTTAAAAAAAGCTGTTTTACTAATTTAAATATTGCTGTAGATGACACTATATTTATTTGAAAGGGGTAAATATCTTTTAGTCTTAATTCTTCTCCAGTAAGCGCTGTGTATTCCCAATGTTTGTGTTCCTGGCAGCACAGGAATTCCACTGACTGAGGGCTGGGCAGCCAGCAGCTCCTGAATCCAATGGCCTTGGACAACAAGATGTCTCTTGCAATGTAATTTTTTTTTTTTTTTGTAGTATTTCTTGATTCTTTTATGTCTGTGGTTTAACAAATCTGTTCAATGTTTGGGTTGTTCTATGTTTTGGGTTGTTTTGTTTTGTTTTTTAACAAAGAAAGCTGAATTACAACATTCTGGTTGCTGGTCTTTGCCTCGAAAAGTTTTCTTTTTCCATGATTATCCCCCACCATCAGCACCTGGGTTTCCAAATATTCCTCTTGCAGCTGGATTTAGGAGCAATGAGAGCATCCATGCCTCCATCTCCATCCTCCTTTTACAAATTCTAGTTCATTTTCCTGAGGTTAAAACTAGGGGAATGGGGAAGTGGGAGAGCTTTGGGCACGAGGAGGGAGCAGAGGAGGAATATCCCAATTCCCAGGGTGTGTCCATAATTCTGTGCAGTAAAAGGAAAGTCCAGCAGTAGGAAGGGACAAGGTTTTTATGGGAGAAGTGCTGCAGTTCCTCTTCCCTGTCCATTCCAGGCTGGAAAAGAGGAGTTTCAGTGGGAAAGGAGCAGGGCAGGGATGCTCAGGCTCCCAGGGCTTGGTGGAGGATTTGATTTGGGTTACAGAGGGCAAAACTCCGAGGTTTTCCTTCCTAAAGGAGAGGGTGGTGCTGGGGCTGCTCCCTTGGGACACAAACACATCCCAGAGGAAGGAATGGGCAGGAAAAGCTGTGGAGAAATCCCAGTAAAGTGAGACTCCAGTGGTGCCACATGGGCTGAGCAAATGTCACACAGATTCCACAGCCAGTTCAGGTGTGACACGGAGGGACTCACTGAGCCTCCCATGGGGTTTGGAAAAGGGAATTATTGTTTGGGTGGGAGGGAGCACTGATAGAAGTAATTTCTGACAGAGGGAGGTAGCAGAGCTCACCCAGGGATCATCTCCTGCTTCAGGCCACTGGAAAAGGGATGGACAGGCTGGCAAAGCCTGGAGAACACGGAAATACAAAGGCAGGGAGGAAAATCCCACTGGATCTGGGCAATCCCCATGGATCTGTGGGATGCTGCTCCAGCCCCACCAGTGACACCAGTCTGCACAGCCTGGGGTGTGCTCAGACCACTCTGCTTTGTGCACTGACGTTCCCACAGCACAGAGAAAAGGGGATTTTATCTGGGGGACACTCTGTGAGTCCGGGGCAAACCTGGGGTGGGATCACAGCTCCTGCTCCACACATTCCCTACAGATCACCATTGCTGGGCACCAGACTGGGCCCTTTGGCTCTTGGCTCCTCCCTGCTGACCTGTCCCTGTGCCCTCACAGAACCATGGAATGCTTTGGGAAGGAAATGACCTTAAAGCTCCTCTTGTTCCCACTACCCCGGGTTGCTCCAAGCCCCTTGAGCACTCCCAGAGATGGAGCAGCCACAGCTGGAAACTCCTGGACGTGGATTCATCAGTGGTGCCACCGTGGCAGAGGAAGGCCCCTGGAGGGCTTTTCCTGGGAAGAACACTTGGAATGGGAGCCACACGTGGTCCCAGCTCCTGGAGGGCTTTTCCTGGGAAGGACACTTGGAATGGGAGCCACACGTGGTCCCAGCTCCTGGAGGGCTTTTCCTGGGAAGGACACTTGGAATGGGAGCCACACGTGGTCCCAGCTCTGTCCAGACACGTCCCCAGCTCTGCTCTTGTGGCTGCTGGGCTTTGTCCCGGGGGCTGGAGGTGGTGGGAGAGGGCAGGCGTGGGAACTCATCCCCACAGGGAGCAAGGCTGACATTTTCCCACCCTCAGAGCAAACCCAGGATATTTTTCTCCCCAAACCCAGGAGCTCCTGTGTGGGAGGCCCGTGGAGAACACAGGGAATGCCACCAAGGAAGGGTGAGCCCTTGGAGCAGCAGGTGGGAATGTCCCAGGACTGCAGGGAATTGCAAAAGCCATAAAACTGTTGTTCCTTTGAAGAATTGTGTGGAAGATGAAAGGCCCTAAATCTGTTTGGGTTGGGAAGAAGCCACTGAAGGGTTGGGTGTGACACGGGCCGGGAACAGCTTCAAGGGTGCACAGATAAATCAAATCAAGGAGCTGACAGGGAATTGTGGCTGGAACTAATAAAGGGATCCTTGGAGGGAAACAAATTCATCCAGTGAAAATGAGCTCCAGGTATAAGGGAAATTGGAGACAAGGAGAATTGATGTTGACAAACTTCCTTGCAGCAAAATAACACCCAGCAAGAAAATTGTTCCTTTAATATTGAGGCAATGGAACTGCCTGAAGGATTTTTTTTTTTATCATTTTTAAAAAGAGTTGCTGATTTTAACCTGCAAAGCCATGAAATAAAGGTGTCTCTCCAGCTGATTTTGCTGGAGATTTATTTTTATTTAATTAATTTACTTTTAAGGTGTCAGAGCTCAGCAGCACAGTTTTTTTTGGAAAAATGGGTGTTAAAGATCTTTAAAAAAAGGATGCATTCAACTCCCTAATTCCAGGCCTTGAAATGTAACAAGGATTTTCTAGAGATCCCTGTAAGTTTTTTCCCCCTGCATAATTGCTAGAGATGAAAATTTCCTGCCTGTCTTGAACTGCAATTCTCCCAGCTGGGAATGGGGCACAGGAAGCAGCAGGGTGGGCAGGAAGGACCTGGAAATCCACAGAAACCGCCCTTGTTCCTGGCTGTGCCTCAGTTTCCCCCGCTGAGCAAGGTCCTGCTCATCTTCCCAGAACAGACTGAAAGCTCTGTCTCAATCAGCTGGGACAATAAATGCTGGAAATTCCCCTGCTCTTCATCCAAGCTGCACAATGGGAAAGCTGAATCTACATTTGGATCCCTCCATCGAATTAGAGACCAGGGAAACAAGAAATGGCAATTCCTGTTGCCTGAGCCTCTTTCCTGATTTAATTAACGTGTCCTTCAGCCCTGTCCTGGGGTGGCCATGCAGGACCCTGCCCCAAAAACCAGATTGCAGTCAGGGTTTGCTGGGAAAATGTCCCTGTTGCCTTAGGCCAGTGCAATCTGTGCCCTGGAGAGCCTTTTCCTGGATTTGGGGGGGCTGAACCCAAATATCCACGTGAGGGATATCCAGGAGTGAGGGACAGCACCCAAGAGATGGGAACAGATGTTCACATTATGTAGGGAAAAGAACTCTTTTTTAATTTTAACTAAGAGCTGTTCCCAACAGCTCCTTTTGGAAGTGATTCCCTGCCTCCCTCTGCAGCCAATGTCCAGCTCCAGGATCCCACCCTGCTCTCCCTGTTTTTCTGCATGAGTTGGCATCACTTGTCACTGTGTCCCTCGGGGTGACAGGGACACACACAGGTCCCAGAGCCACCTCGGGGGCTGGGGGTGCATTTGGCCACGCTGCCTGCCCTCAGAATCATGGCATGGCTGGGGCTGGAGGTTAAAGCTCACCCAACTCCACGTGTCTGGAGCCTCCAGAGCAGCCCAGAGCTACCCAAAAATGGGTGATAGGAATGAAAGGCACAGAGCCCTGAGCCTAAGCAAACCCTGGGGATGTTGCAATATTCCAGGAGCGTGGTGAGCTCTGCTTTGGAGCTGCTCCTGGCTGCTTTGGTCAACATCTCCAGAGCCAGGCTCTGCCTCTCACTGAGGTCATTTCTGCTCTGACTTGCCCAGGAAAGCAGGGGCTGCCCCTCTGCACTTGTGTAACCAGCAGGAGCCTCATCCCTTGGGCTGCACAGAAATCAGGTCTGGGCACCTCAGGAATTCGGAATTCGGGAGCTCTGTGCTGCAATGAGCTGCTGCGTGTTGGATCTGGGAGCAAAAAGCCATCGGCTCAGCTAAAAGACAATTCAAATGCCTGCAGGGGCCCTGGTGCCTGTGCCAGGAGAAGGGTGGGGGTGAAGCTCCTGCTCAGTCCCTGGATTTCAGCCCTGCCAGGCTCTGTGTGGTGGAGAATATCCCAAACACTCCTGGAGCCTGGGAGCACCTGAAGGAGATTCCTGCTGGCCCTGAATTGCAGCAGCCAAAAGGCACCAGGGCAAAAATTACTATTGCTGGTCACAATTTTTTCTTGAGAAGGATCATTTGGGGATGGAAAAATCCTTTTCCCCCTTTTTTTATGTTTGTTTTCTTCATGTACCTCTCATATTTTCTAGAAAAACCAGAAGTTTAGTATTACATAGTGACTCTAAAACCAGCAGCCTGTGGAATCTTTCTGGGAAGATGAGGCTGAAGGTTTTGGGGTTATCTCAGCTTTTCCTGCATGTTTGGAGGCAGCTGGAACTTTGAATGATATTCCTGGTGAACTGCAGGAATTGCAGGGCTGGGAATGCTGGGCTGAGCTCCCTCCTGTCTGTCTGTCTGTCTGTCCACAGCCTTGCTCCTACTAAATGGGATTTATCCCCGTGCCAGCACTGGGTTTGCATTAGGGGAAAAAAGAAATCATAATCCACACTGAGAAAGTTGCCTGAAAGAAGCTTTCCAAAGAGGCACTGGCTCCCCACAATGTAAAGAGTTTAAGCTCTCACATGATGGCTCAGGCTGTGCAATTACTGCAGGAATCAGCTCTGCACAGCCCATTCCCAGGGGAGAGCAGGATCCTGGGGAAGCAGCTGCATGGAAAAATCTGGGCTCTTAATTGGGAAATCGTCTTACACAGGTAGAGGAAATCAGGTGTTCGAAATAAAAATCCCAGCTCACAGAAGAAAGTCATTTAGAGCCACATTAATCCCAGTGTATGCCAGGCCCTCTGAATAATCAAAGATTACTCTTGCTGGTCACATTTTTTTCTTGAGGAGGAATATTTGGGGATGGAAAGTCCTTTTGTCCCTTGTTTATGTTTGTTTTCTTCAGGTACCTCTAATATTTTCTAGAAAAAACAGAAGCCTGGTATTACCTAGAAATCCTGCAAGCCTCAAACCATTCTCTCTTTATCTTCCACGTTTAATTAAAATTAATAGAAATGGAAGCAAAATTAGCCTTTTCCCTAGAACCCCATGGAATTTCTGAGCAGGTGCTATCACTGCTGAGCAAAGGTTAAACAGGTTTTTGTCTGTCTTATTCAGGAGACCAAATCTGAGAGAAGGGCCTGTACCCAAGGCAAACAAGATAAACCCATAAATCCTGCAAAATATTCTCTCTGGGATTTGCTTCTTGCTGTGTGGGCCAAATACCATCTGGATTTCTCTCCCGCCCTCCACACAGAAAAATCAGCCTGAAAAGCACTTTGACACCCTCCTCATTCTGGCCAT